CCGTCTTATTTGCATTTTTTATACATAGGTATAGTTGATGAATGAAGTTTCTGTTTTGTTGCTTGGATATTTACAAAACTAAACTGTGTCATTTTCTAATTACAAGTGTGGTCAGCGCGGAAGAACTGGCTCGACCGAATTGATAAAACGACCTTATAGAAAATCAGGATTAGAAAACCAGAGCGTTGGTTTTCGCTGTTTGAATGTGGTTACAGGAGGCCAAATCCTATCCGGCCCCTATCCCTCCACAACTCATCACGTAGATAACACGTATGCCCTTTTGCCGCTTTATCTCATAAAAAATATTCTTGTAAGTACCTTTAAGGTTAATTATTGTAATTCAAACGCAGTTTTTTTTCATAGCAAATTAGTTTAATTGGCGTAATGCGTCGACTAAATCTATTTTAAATGAAAGGAACTGAACACGCCTAATAATTTGAATGCTATTAAAAACAGATTGTGATTTGGCAGTACAAGTACCTACCTAGTAAGTAGAAGTGTAGGTATAGATACCAAAGGTATAGATACCTAGTATCCAGTACCAAGTTATTAAAACTTATGGGAAAAGAGGATTTATTGAACCCATCCTCAATCCCAAAGGCGGTAAAATCCTCTGGTCGTAGGTAGGTACCTACTCTTGAACACCCGTCTGAGGGTTACGCCGATTGCTGTCACCTATGCCCATTGACATAGGCCTATGCCACAAAGAAAATCAGTTTGCATTCCAAAGGGTGAAAGTATTGCCAGTTGCCACATTAGCTGTGTGTACTAGGTACTTAGACGTAATAAATGTACTCTAATAAATAGGTACTTTTACCTATAATATTCTTAATGTTACCTTATTATTTTGTATCGTTTAATTGTATATTTTACTAAGGGATCTCTGAGGTATATAAGTTAATAAAAATACACCAACAAAAATTCATTCAACAAACATTCATTACAAAAAAGAGCCAAGTTTCTCTAAGCAATTCTTCCACAGTAAATAGTTTTGAGATTCCATTTAAGCCTAGTCCTGTTCAACTTGTGCAGTTCACTACAGTCGGTGAAGGTATTCTGATATTATTTAATTTGAAATCCTCCACATATACAGTTTTGTATTTGTATCTTATTGCACTCATGACCAAGTTACTATTATTGTAATGTAAAGAAAAGTAATATAAGTAGTCACATAATATTGATTTACAAATACAAATTAAGTTGAATAGGATTAAGCTTCTATGGCATTTCAAAGGGCGGTAAATCGTCATGTGACTTCTCTTATCCAGAGGGAGATGTGAGAGAGTGGCAAACTCTTAAAAAAAACCACCATCATCTTGTCTTCGAATCGCGTGCGAAGCGCACGGAGGATCACGTGCATCGCCTCTTATTTTGCGAGCTTCACTGCTTCGCAGAAAGAACAGGCGCGGCTTCCTAGTTCCTCTCACTCCGCACCATAGCCGCGACTAAGGTCGCTCGTCAGAGGAGGCCGACGCCGATCACTCCCCTGAGCCCAAGAAGTATATATCGCAACCGTATGCTCCACCGTGTCTGTGGGGTTGTGTAAATGGTTTAAATAATCAAATGCCATAGGATTTTGAGGCTAAGCTTGTTTTGATACTTACTCTAGGTCATCTAAAACCTCTATCTTAAGCTTTGTCGCGAAATAATCGCGAAACGCTTCGTTTAGCTAAAGACTTGGCTGGCGCACTACCGTGCCCCCAGGTAAAATATCAGTCTCCATGTATGCTTATCATAAATGTATTTGTGATCCATCCCTTTAAATTTTTTTGACTCTCAGACGCGCTCGACCGCGGTGATACCATGGCCTCAGTATTGATTAAATTTGGGGGAAAAATTGGGGGAGGGGAAGGATTGGGCCTCCGGTAACCTCACTCACACGGCGAAACACAACGCTGTGGTTGTTTCACGCCGGTCTTCTGTGAGGCCGTGGTATCACTCCGGTCGAGCCGGCCCATTCAGTAGAAGCACGGCTCTCCCACACCTAAATATACCGCAGCCTGGAGCAGAAGAAGGAACCGGGTAATTTTTAGTCAGTATATACATATGAATCTGACTTTTAGACTACACATTTCTATTTATCCTACGGGGAGAAAAGTTACTTGACGAAGTTCCATCCTCTAAAAATCATTACTGTCATCAATGAAAATCACGGTTTGATTAAAGTTATTGGTGATACGCGAAATTCATTCGAAATCTATGAAAGAAGGGTATGAACATTTCTGAAACTATATAAATAACAGTTCTCAAACAACAGAGGAGAAAATTAAATGCTGTTGAATCATGAGATGGAGATGTAGCTAGGGACTGTAGAAACAATATTAATCAACACAATCTAGATTTTGAATTGCAAAAAATATGTATTGCGTGTGAATAGACACTTCAATTTTAGGCAGGCAGGCAAGTTTACACCCGGTACGAAATCAGTTACTTAATCATAATTTAAATTAATTTTATGGTTTTATTATTCTCGACTAATAACGGGTATAGATACTTACTACGCAATCTAACGCGCTGGTTCGATTCGATCCTGCGTTAGGAAACTTGCAGTTGTCATACGAACATAATATCAATGGCAGTTGTGAACTTGTGAAATCAAGTCAGAAATTTTAATATAGGTATGGTAATTAGTTGTACTAAGTAGTAATGTGATAGGTAATTATATTATTAATAATTTATCTCAACCATTAGCCTCTAACGAAAGCAGCACCTAATCATCAGGTTCCTAACTAAGTTGAAAAAAGTCTCTTCTCATACGGAGAAGGAACGAGCATTAATCGTTTACCTACTCAAACATAGGAGAAGGGTAGGGGAGTTCACTTATAATAAGAAATTATCCAAAAATGATATATATCTATATATCATAGAAATGTCCAGTATTCTGACGACCTGCCGGGGTTGTAGGTCAAGCACAATTAAGTAAGTTAATAAGAGTCTGAAACTCCTTCTCGCAATATTCTGGTCGAGAGAAGTCATTCGACGACCATTAGTTTTCAAAAAAAGAAGGTTCGTTCCATAGATTTATAACAAGTCGTGGTCTTATGAATCTTTGGTTTCTTTACGATGTTTACGTTCACCGTATCTTTGAGCGCTCAGCTTACGTATAAAATACTAGCTATTCTCGCGCGGTTTCACCCGCTGCTCGACTTCATTTACTCGTAGCGTGATGTTTTATAGCCTATAGCACTCAGGAATATTGTAGCTAGGTATCTATCAGTGCAAGAATTTTGGCATCCGGCAATCCGACCAGCGGTTCCGAAGATTACCCCCCCGTACATACAAACTTACAAATTTTACCTCTTTATAATATCAGTATAAAGATTACACAGACTTATTGTAGGATTTTTTTCTTTTTTTACACTAGGGTTTTCACCTGTGTCGTGGGTGCGTACAAACATACAATCACATACACATTACACCTGGGTGTGATGTGTATGTTCTGGGTCTGGACTCAGAACTACAATTTGTAGATCACATAAAGAGTTGTACCGTTTTTTTTACTTTCACCGAGGCCGCGGTTCCTCTTTGCTCTTACCCTGCAACCTTAGCAGTAGCTGAAAGAGTAGTACCGTGTGGGAATCGAGACCGCGACACGTTGCGCGGTAGCCAGTTGCCCAGCTACCGCGCCAACCGTGCAATTAGGGAAACAGGCACAAAAAAAACTTAAAAATGTTAAGTCCTTTGTGTGGGTGTGTATTTATGTGAGTCTTTAAAGAAAAAAAACGCGGTTCAAGTTTATAGTGCATTCATATGACATATGAGTATTTCTTAAACATTGAACACGAGCTGGATAGGTATCGAATAAACAAATTATCTAGGTCACGCTTATTGCAACTCAATTGCTAATCAAACTGACAAATAGCTTGCGAAGCACCCTCGTGTTTCCTTTTATTTGCAAATCACTCTTTCAATTTCCTGTCCATGTGTTTCCGCTAACTAAACTGTTTGCGTAATGTACCTATATCTTCAAGCAATTTTGTTTTTAACGGTACCTATAGGCGTAGTAGTGATTTTTGGTAAATAGTGAGGTAAAAGCTATGTTGATAGCAGAACAGAATTTACCTATATATGCAACAGCAATACTAAGTATGTACTTAGTAGGTATTGCTGTTACCAGGACTATCATATTATTAACTGAATAATCCTTTGTGTCGTGTTGGCCCACAAATTAAGGCGAATGAAGCACGTACATTAACTGTGGGAAGCTGCTCTTTCAAATAAATGCCATTTAATTAAATTATGAAACCAACCCCGTGCCCGTTGAGATTACAGAGACCCAAAGTCAAGTAGCCAACTCAAAAAGTCAAATAATTTATTTTAATTGGAGAATTTAGGTGTCCTAGTACTTCAAACAAAATATCCAAATATATAAAATTCTCGTGTCAGAATGTTTGCCTCCAATGCCTCCTCCCGCCCTGGGCGAGCAAGAGCGAGTGTTACACTCTTCTAATAACTAAAAATGACTTCATTCCAAGTCTTCCGAGTTGAGAATTTTATTGCGATTAACCCGTAACCTTGTCTGGACATTGATTACCGTGGCATAGGCCTGTCATCTGTGGTGGTCTAATGGTTCTCTAAGTAATGTAACACGCTTTGAGTCTACTCATTCGACACCTACAGGTGAAGTAGGGGACGTCGATACAAGCATTCTAGTCTGAATGAAAATAAAATTAATACTCTCAATACGGTAAGAAAAAAAATATAAAAACACATTTGGGGACCAATGGATTGAACTCGACACCTCGCACGTTAACAGTCGCACGTGCAACCAATCGACCAAAGAGGTAAATTAAAATGTATCGTTACTGGAATTGAAACCTTATGCCAGCGGTTTTGTAAATAAGGTGTTATTTTACAACTTATTCAATGAAACTCATATGTTTGAGTTTAAGTTCTTGTTATTATTATCTACATTGAGATTACCTAAATGCATAAGGCTACTTATTCATTACATTATTTTGACAAATGTGTAGACATTTGTCAAAATGTCGAAATGACTTTTAAAACCTTTCTACCAATTTCTTGACATCTTTAGCGAACACAAAGTCCACGTGGTTGAACTGATCGTACGGTATCTTGTAGGTGTCTACCACATTGCTGAGCCTCTTGCGCAGTTGCTCCACATCACTTGGATGTGCAAGCCAGTCTGCCTCACTGTAAAATAAATACACCGGCGCCACGACCTTCTCCAAGTCATAGCTCGGAGCCACCTTCACACCGTATCTTACTATATTCTCCTCACCACCGTAATCAAATTTCCTAAAATCTTCAGATATAAGTCCTTGACCATAGTGAGCGAACTGCTTAATAGAAGCCCCCGCCGGCAAGTGGCCAAATACCACAGGCAAATTCGTAATATTCAGCTGGCCAAAATCAAATCCGGCGATTATAAATATAATGTTGCTACATAATATTATGACCAACGGTCCTGTGCCACATATCAGCAGCTTCAAGGCGTTCATTATGGCATTGTCTGGCAAAAATTCATAGACACCGAGGTGCCTCGAAAATTCGTGCAGCAATGATGTTCCTGGAGATAACAACCTCACTATAGGAGAATTTACTTTTGACATAAACGCTACCGGTGACAATGCTACCATGCCAGATATCTTCGCATTGTATTCGGGTTTTTCAGAGGCCATCACAAAGAAAGCCGTCGTACCTTGAGAATGGCCGATGTATCTTAAAGTAGCCACATTTCGTTTTCTCAATACAAAGTCGATCATAGCTGGTAGGTCGTAGATGCCGATCTCATGCCACGAAAAGTCCCAAAAAGAGGCATTAGATGGCTTCAAATTCACGTGGCGTCGGGAATGCTTGCACCCTCGAGCGTTACCCATCCACACATCGTAGCCCTGATTCGCCAGAAGATATGCGAGTCCACTGTCGGGGCCCGCAACAATGTAATCGTCGGCACTCCCAAGTAACCCATGCATCAGGAACACCGCGGGGCCAGCGCCAGGAATCCTGAACAACGTTAATGCATAGCCATCTTCAGTGATCACTTCGTACCTTTCAACTGGATATCCATATTTAACGATTATCGCGTCGATACTCATGGTTGCGTCCTCATTGTCCTTGCCTGCATTGAAGTCAGAAATGAGCTTATCGACTACATCGATGTTGTTTGTTTTGCTGATCCGCGAACTAAGTCTAATAGGTCCAATAGCTCTTGAAACTGCTAAAGGCACTTTGGTAACAAGATTCACTGCTGCTGCGAAGGCGTTAGACGATACAAACGACGTTGAACTTATTATTGGATGTGTAATTAGCGTTTCGATAAAGTGCTGATTTGTTTTAGCTATTGAACTTGGGACGAGAGAGTCGACAAGATGTCCATGACTGAGGTTAATCACAGCGAGAATAAATAAGAACTTTTTAGACATATCGCACGAGTTGTTTGGATTTGAGCTGAGTGTAAACTGCCCGTTTCGGATGCCATGACTGACCTTGCCGGTACAGTTTTTACGATTCGATCTTTCCGCCTATTAGTGATGGGTAAATGAAGTGTTTATGTCATTGTCAATAATATGCTTGTTTACAACCCTAAAGCGTGCTACCGCACGACGTCATTGTTTTTTTTTAATGATCTACATTGTTTATGTACTAAGTTATGGGTTCATTAAATCACAAATGCGTTGTACCCAGATCGGCATACCGAAAACAATATTATTTTAATGTAGATTAGAAGTTGATATACGTGCAAGAATCGAACCCGCGACACGTTGCGCGGTACCCCTCAGCAGTCAGTTGCCTAACCACTACGCAAACCACCTAACTTCATACTATTTCACTTCATAAGTAGGTACCTACATCGTTTTATACATTGCATACTTATTATTTACGAAATCGAGTAAAAAACAAACAATTTATGTAGCACGGTAAACAAGCCGACCTGATGGTAAGCAGTCATCACCGCCCGTGGACGTCCGTAACATCAAAGAAGTTACCACAAGTGCGTTGCCGGCCTCTTGTGGGCAGTTGTGGGTTATTAGGGATTTAAGGATAGGCGATTTAAAGATTAATGACGTTCATGCCAAAACATGGCTCTCTCACACTAGAATGCGTAACCTAATAAGTATCGCTCGTTTTCATTCCCTAAGGGGAAAAATGAGGATGATCTGGTTACACAGGGTTACACGTAGACGGTAGACAAGTAGTCATTGTCACCCGGTTTGCCATTACTATAATATTCTATAGAATAATTTCCACACCATGGAGTTTTATTGTCGAAACAAAAAATATTTTTATTAATATAATATGACTAATTTCTAAATATTTTAATTTCTTGTAATAAAGATATTCAAAGTGGATGTAATCTACGAGTAAGACCTATGTTTTTTCAAAAGTCAAAGACCAACTGTGACCTCCAGCTGTAGGGTAAAATACCTCGGGTTCAATTCCTATGTAAGAAAAATTGTCAAATATTTTTCTAAAATACATAAAATAATAGTTCATAAGTCTGAAAATTACGTTTATCCTATTTATCCTATTATATTTATTGTTTACTGACTCAGTAAACAATGTTAGGGTTATGGACGGTTTTTTTCTTTTTTTTATTGTCAGACTGACTCCAAATTAATCAAGCTATGGATCTTACCAAAAACGGGTTTTTATGAGATGAGAAACGACGAGCATAGGGTAACCAGATTATAATAAGCAATCGGCACAACGCATGTCCATGCGCACCTGCAATACCAGACGAATTACTAGTACGTTGGTGCCGTTGGCTACTAGTATAAGGGATTAGGGGATTGGGGTATTGGAGGATGGGTGAAGAATGTATGTATGGTCAGGGTCGCGGGGCAAGTGAAATAAGGTACCGCGGCTTTGGCCTAGAGAAGAAGAAGGAACGGCGGATTTTCTGTCAGTAAGAGTCAAAAACTTCCTCAACCTGGGCGAGAGAAGTTATTTAATGATTTTTTCCCTCACAAAAAAGGGGCTGCAATATATAACGGTGACTATCACCCGGATTCTGAAAGGCTTGTCAACGCTAAAATTAACTAATCTCATGTTTAATCTCTTGTCAAGTCATTTGGAAAGCATATAAAGAGCTGAAGTTAACTGCACTGCCTTTAAGTAGACAACTTTAATCTAAATGAAAATAGAGTGTATTTTTAATATTAATTAGTGTAAAATGAAGGGTAGATAGCGGTCCCCACCACACAATAATAGCCCGGAACGAGACCACTTCAAGGCTAAGGGTCTCCTTTGTAATAGAAGGGTTTGGCAAAATCTTCACACTTGGCAGGTGGGTTCTGCCTATCAATAAACCTGAAATACCAACCCTAACAACCCAAAAAAGGCTCCAGTCACTCTCCAGTCGGGGTTGCGTGGCAAACGCCATAAGGTACCACAACCTCAGCCTGGAGTAGGAGACGGATCGAGGGGTTTTTTAGTCAGTAAGGTCTGACCATCTTAGTCGGGGCCATGGTGCGGAGCCGCCTCCTCTTTTTGCATAGCAGTGATGCGATCTTTGCGGCGGGGAGAGGTGGTGTGAGGGAACTATCCTCAAAGCATCGAGGCTCGAGTAACGATCTTCGTAGTCGTACACCGTAAGCGCCGGTCTGCAGTCCCTCTCGGCCAATCTTGAGCGAAGTCATATATTGATGATTTTTTCCCTTCAATAAACCCTTAAAAAGGTATAGTCCCTTAGGTCTCAGATACCCGCAGGAAGAACAAGGAGGGTGACAAAAGCATCATGTTTTACTGTGTCTTCAATACAGGGCAAACTGGTTAACATGGTAGATATACCTATGGCATTTTTTAATGCAAAATAGCAGTCGAATATCGATTACACGGTTGCAACACTGGCAGGGTGTACAGTAATTTGTTCTTACTCCTTAGTACAGTACACTACCGGCTACTATTACTTGTACTAGGTACTTTAATTCTGTAGTTCAAAGGTTCCATTTCCGTCATTTTTGTTTATTAAGAAAAAACTGAGGCACTGTTTTTTGTGCCGTGGGTACGTTTACAAATGTACAATTTCACATACACAACACATTCAGACCTGGAACAATAATTTGTGGATCTCATAAAGAGTTCTTTCGTGCGGGAATCGAACCCGCGACACGTTGCACGGCAACCCATCAGCCACCGCAATAAAACAACCGCCACTGTAAACACGTCAAAGACAAAGGAGGAGTTTTTAGATTTTTGTAATCTGTCTTTAATTTCAGACTACTAGTGACCAACTGAGAATTTATGAGAACCAATATAATATTTCTCGGGAATGTAATCCGAGGTAACTTGCTCAGTAATCGCACTCACGATGACTAGATTCCATCGCTAGTTTCTTTTTTAAAACTTGTTCTATGCATTGTCTTCACATATGGGTAAAATAATGAAGTTGTGAAACATATTTAACAAAAGAGCAACGATATCATTTCTGTCTCGTTCTCCTCAATTCGTATCTACAAGTTGGAACGAGCACCTAGCTTCACTGACGAACAGACTGACAGACTATTATTCTATTTTGACGTTTCAAATGTACCTATTAATGGTTTAATTGGAATAACTTTTCCTTGACTAAGGAGGCAGTCGTTAATGTCTTATCGTGTGTCATAATGCAGCTATAAGCTATATTAGATAGTGTGAGAAAGCCATGCTTCGGCACGAATGGGCCAGCTCGACCGAAGTGATACCATGGCCTCACAGAAAACCGGCTTGAAACAACCACAGCGTTGTGTTTCGCCGTGTCCGTTTTGGATTGGGCCGCCGTACCGGAGGCCCAATCCTTTCCCTCCCCCAATCCCCAAATCTCCAAATCCATAATCCCCAAAATGGCGGCAACGCAGTCATAACTCCTCCGTTGTGGCGGCGATTGCTTGCCGTCATAATACCATTTTTATTGCGTGCACGTCGATGCATTTACATACATACCTACAATTTCATTTACATGTACACACGACGCCTAGACTTGCATCACCACCAGAATGAATTTATAGATCACACAGAGTTGTTCCATGCAGGAATCGAACCAGCTTCCGAACGAATCAGATCTGAAGTAACAACGGGTTTGAACACACGATTCTGACTGGTGCTTAAATTAAACGATTTTTTTCCATAAGACCAATATGGAAAATTTGAAAAAAAATTACTTCTTCACGCAAAATGATCATAAATCAGCAGCTGTTGCGATTTGTATGGGGAAATGACGTGAAACAATCACAGCGTTGTGTTTCGCCGTGTGAGTGAGGTTACCGGAGGCCCAATCCCGCCCCTTTCCCTATTCCTTCCCCGATCCTTATATCCGCAACCCCTATCCCCAAAAGGCCGGCAACGCTCTCGGAACTCCTTTGGTGTTGCGGGTGTCCATAGGCGGCGCCGATTGTATACCATCAGGTAATCCGTCTGCTAGTTTGCCGACTTATAACATCAAAAAAAAAGTATGACAATTTGATATCGGTCCCATCCATGACCCATGTAAGTGGTTGTTGTAATTGGTCATCAAAATCGGCTCCTAATACCTATAGTAGTCACTCATTTAACGGCCCAAATTCGCCGTGTGTTTCGTCGTGTGAGTGAGATTACCGAATGCCCAATCTTTCCCCTCCCCCAATCCCTAAATCTCCAAATTCCCTAATCCCCAAAAGATCGGCAACGCACTCCTAACTCCTTTGTTGTGTCCATGCGCGGCTCTGATGGCTTACCATCAGGTAATCCGTCTGCTCGTATGCCGTTCCATTACATAAAAATAATATTCAACTTTGATTGAATGACTGAATTTATGTTTGAGGACAATCTTAGTTACTGTTTATTTGTGGTGGTGTGGCGATTTCTGTGCGGACCATTATCAACCACAAACAAACAAACAAAACAAACAAAAAGTATTTATTCGCGTCTGGGACGCATAAAAGACACAAAACGAACAATAATAAAAAAAGGTAAAAATAAAAATACATTAAGAATTATACTACAATATAACAAAAGTAGAGGGTAGGAGAAAAATATGCGTCCAAGCTCGCGAAATGGCCCACCACGTACCATAATTATGATAGCGAGAGTGTGATAGGATTAAATGAGAAATATTGTCATTTCATCAATTACCTATAGTCGTGGAGGACGTTGATTGAATGACTAATAAAAGAAATTGCCTACGACATATTATCCATGTTTTAAAATCACACCATCTCATCATCATCATCAAACAATAAGTGTACACATCTAAACAAAGGCCATTATTTGAGCATTATTTTGTTATGTTGTATGTTATGACTCCACGGTTGGTGCGGTGGCTGGGCAACTAGCTGCCGTGCAACGTGTCACGAATTCGATTCCCGCACGGAACAACTCTTTGTGTGATCCACAAATTGTTGTTCCGGGTCTGGGTGTCATGTGTATGTGAAATTGTATGTTTGTAACCGCACCCACGACATAGGAG